GACGATATGAAAGAAGTGGGCGTGGCCACCGTGATGTCACCCGTTGGTTTGTGGTCTGCTGTTTTGAAGCCTCTAGTTGTTTTTTGTTGAACCGGATGTGACCATATTTGGACAAGACGATGGAGCTAGCTAGCTTTGGTGGCAAGGTGCATCTGTAATTCACATTAACATGTGACATTAGCTGGGATGCTAATTTTGGCTAGCGACAAACAGGCAAAACTAAACGTACCTTCCCGAAAAATGGACCAGCCAACTGCTGATAAGCTTTCTCAGCGGCCCTGATTAAATGTACACAGAGCAGAGGATAAGAGTCGCCTCCCCTTATTCCTGGTCTCTGTTCCTCTAAATCGGACCATAATTTACTAAATGAACATCATGCTGTGTTGAAGAAGACTTGAAACTAGCGACTGAGACCATAAACTCATCAGGAAAGTGTTTACTGAGGGAATAAATCAGCTGACAAGTAGAAACATTTTCTCAGAGACTTCTATAAAATCACACTTCTTTCTGCAGCCGCTGGAGTCGCCCCCTGCTGGCTGTTAGAGAGGACGCAGGTTTAAGTCGTCCCCTGCTGGCTGCTAGAGAGGACGCAGGTTTAAGTCGCCCCCTGCTGGCTGTTAGAGAGGACGCAGGTTTAAGTCGCCCCCTGCTGGCTGCTGGAGAGGACGCAGGTTTAAGTCGCCCCCTGCTGGCTGCTAGAGAGGACGCAGGTTTAAGTCGCCCCCTGCTGGCTGCTGGAGAGGACGCAGGTTTAAGTCGCCCCCTGCTGGCTGCTAGAGAGGACGCAGGTTTAAGTCGCCCCCTGTTGGCTGCTGGAGAGGACGCAGGTTTAAGTCGCCCCCTGCTGGCTGCTAGAGAGGACGCAGGTTTAAGTCGCCCCCTGCTGGCTGCTAGAGAGGACGCAGGTTTAAGTCGCCCCCTGCTGGCTGCTAGAGAGGACGCAGGTTTAAGTCGCCCCCTGCTGGCTGCTAGAGAGGACGCAGGTTTAAGTCGCCCCCCCTGCTAGCTGCTAGAGGACGCAGGTTTAAGTCGCCCCCTGCTGGCTGCTAGAGAGGGCGCAGGTTTAAGGTGCTTCAGCGCTGGCTTCACCTTTTAGACCCCTAATCCAGAAAACCCAGATTTGTGATCTGAGCAACGGAGAAGAGAGTGTAAATTTCATCTGGGTTTTATCTGGATACGAGACGTTTAAAAAGACAAAAGCTTTTTTACGATCTGATAAGCTTGCTCACATTGTGATGAACGCTGTCTTCAGCCTCGGTTTGTTTTTGTGTCTTTTGTGCAGGACGACCACCAGCATCAGGGCGTCCTCATTGGCTGAGAACGAGCTGGAGGTGGAGTCAGAGTGACGGGGCCGTGTAGTGGGCGGGACTTCCTCTGAGCAGAGGACAAAATGTTGCTGACTTCCTGCTCCGCCCCCTGCAGCTCCACCTGGCTCTGGTAAACAAACACAAAGTTAATCTGTAGAGCAACATGTCATCAACGAGCCAATTAATGTGCTTAACGTAAAACATAAAAAGATCAGATACAAGTTACAATGGAAATAAAAAGAAAGTTACAAGGTGATAAAATATCAAACTGTCTTAAATATTCACCACAATTCATCAACAACAAGCTAATTCAAAGTGCTTTACATAAAACATAAAAGCAACAGGGAAATATAAAAAGTTTAAAAGCAACATAGGGAAATTGAAAAAATACACATTATAAAAGAAATACAAAATAATAAAAGTTACAGTGCAGTGTACAATCAGTGTTAAAAGAGTTAAATGGAAAATAAAAACAGGCTGAGCGGTTGAGCAAATAATTGAGTTACAATTATTCTGAAAAGAGAATAAACAGAGAAGTACACTTAATCTACTCTCTCTAGCTAGTCTGTACTCGGGTCCATAGCAATCTTTGGGTCCACTGAATCTCTAGAAACCCTTGGACACTACAGAGAAACCAGGACACGTCTGTCCGCAGGCCGCTTTGATCCAGTTATACTCTGGACCCACCTGCGCGTTTACAGGTGGACAGAGGTTCCTGCAAATCACTCAGGCGCGAGATTTAAGACCACTTCCTTCACTCTGTTCAATCTCACTCTCATTATCTTTTCACTCAGTTACCTACTCATTTCTCACTGTGTAAATATTTAATTAAAAGCAATGGTAAAAAGAAAAGTCTTCAGTCTTAATTTAAAAGAACTGACAGTTTCAGCAGACCTGCAGTTATCTGGGAGTTTGTTCCAGATATACGGAGCATAATAACTGAACGCTGCTTCTCCTTGTTTAGTTTTGACTCTGGGGACAGAAAGCAGACCTGTCCAGGATTTTCAAATTAATTCTTTGACATATAGGAAGCCAATGTAAAGACCTCAGAACTGGAGTGATGTGATCCACCTTTTTGGTCTTAGTGAGGACTCGAGCAGCAGCGTTCTGAATCAGCTGCAGCTGTCTGATGGATTTCTTAGGGAGCCCTGTAAGGACACTGTTACAGTAGTCGAGTCGACTGAAGATAAATGCATTGATAAGCTTTTCCAGGTCCTGCTGAGACATAAGTCCTTTAATCCTTGATATATTCTTCAGGTGGTAATAGGCTGACTTTGTAATTGTGTTAATATGGCTCCTCAAATTCAGGTCTGAGTCCATGACTACACCAAGATTTCTGGCTTGATTTGTGGTTCTTAACAGTACAGATTGAAGTCGAGCACTGACTTTCAATCGTTCCTCCCTGGTTTCAAAAACAATATCAGTTTTATCCTTGTTTAATTGAAGAAAATTCTGGCACATCCAATCGTTGACTTGCTCAATACAGTTACTCAGCGCCTGTATGGGATCATAGTCCCCTGGTGAAATGGTTATGTAAATCTGTGTGTCATCTGCATAATTATGGTAACATATTTTGTTGTTTTCATAATCTGAGCCAGTGGAAGCATATAAATGTTAAACAAAAGAGGCCCCAGAATGGAGCCTTGGGGCACTCCACATGTCATTTTTGTCAGCTCAGATGTGTGATTACCTATAGACACAAAGTAGTCTCTGTTCTTTAAGTAGGATTCAAACCAGTTTAGTACTGTGCCAGAAAGTCCAACCCAGTTTTCAAGTCTGTCTAGTAATATATTGTGGTCGACTGTGTCGAATGCAGCACTGAGATCCAATAATACTAAGACTGAAATTCCGCCACTGTCAGTGTTTAAATGGATGTCATTGAATACCTTAACAAGAGCCGTCTCAGTGCTGTGGTGTGGTCGAAAACCTGACTGGAAGACATCAAAACAGTTATTTAGTGCCAAGAAAGCACTAAGCTGTTGAAAAACAGCCTTTACAATGATTTTACTTAGAAATGGGAGATTTGATATGGGCCTATAATTGCTCATTAGTGAACTGTCTAAATTGCTCTTTTTAAAGAGGGCCTGTGGGAAAAAACCTGAGAGGAGAGACATGTTGACAATTTGTAGTAGATCTGAGGCCATGCATTTAGACACATTTTTGAAAAAACCTGTTGGCAGAATATCAAGGCAGCATGAGGAGGATTTTAGATGTTGTATTATGTCTTCCGGGTTTTTATGGTTAATAGAATCAAATTGTCTCATGCTATATGAATTGTTTTTAAGTGGACACAGGGACAAGACATATCCTGTTACTGACATGGAGGCACTGGTTGTTTGTCTAATTGTTTGAATTTTGTCTGTGAAGAAGGAGGTAAATTCATTGCAGGCCCTGGAGGCTACAGACACAGGAGGGTTGGTTAGCCTGTTGACAGCAGCAAACAGGGCACGTGCATTATTAGTGTTTTTGGTGATGATGTCAGAGAAGAAGGACCGCCTTGTATTTCTCAGCTCTAAATTATAAATGTGAAGTCTCTCTTTATAGACGTCATAATGAACCTGGAGATTTGTTTTCCGCCACCTGCATTCAGCTTTTCGACACTCTCTTTTTTGAGTTCTAACCAGCGTGGCATTTCTCCATGGAGATCTTCTCTTACCAGAGACCACCTTCACCTTGGCTGGTGCAACGGCATCAATAACATTTGTAATTTTAGAACTGAAATTATCTACAAGCTCATTGACTGAGACCCGTGAGAGGGCGGGTGTTGAGGAGAAAGCCTCAATAAATTTTTCACTAGTGTTTTCAGTGATATGCCGTTATGTGATCACCTCTGTTTGTACATTAGTGTGCACGCAGACAGCACTCTCAAAGAAAACACAGGAATGATCTGAGAGAGCAACATCAGTCACCACAACCTTGGAAATGTCCAGACCCTGACTAAGTGTGCCCCTTATTGTGCGTGGGCCTCGTCACATGTTGGGTCAGTCCATAATTATCAAGAACACAACACAGTTCTTTAGTCCCTCTGTCCTGGGGGTTGTCAACATGGATGTTAAAATCACCAAAAATAACCACACAGTCAAAGTCAATACAGATTATAGACAGCAGTTCACCAAAGTCATCAAAAAAGTTTGCACAGTATTTAGGGGGCCTGTAGATATTTAGAAAAATAGCTCGAGAAGAGGAATTCAGCTGAATAGCCACATATTCAAAAAAGAAGCAAAATTCCCATAAGACATCTTTTTGCATTGGAGGGAGTCATTAAACAAAATGGCAACTCCACCTCCTCTCTTATGCACTCTAGCTTCACTCATGAAACTGAAGTTGGGAGGGGTAGACTCGATAAGGACAGCTGCACTGTTATCTTGGTCCAACCAAGTTTCAGTTAAAAACATGAAATTAAGATTGTGAGTGATTATAAAATCATTGATTAAAAAATGTTTTTCCTGCCAAAGACCTAACGTTTAACAAAGCTAATTTTAGTGTGTTAAAAACATTATCTGGCCCACTTTTTTCGACAGGCTGAGGCTGACGAGGAATTAATACTAAATTTGCAGGATATGTTGAGTGCTTCCTGTTTCTTAACACATTCACCATGCTTTTTCTGTTACCTATCAAGACAGGGATGGAGAAGACAACCAGCACACTGGGCCCCGGCTTGTCCTGGGAAGAGTCATGAGTGCTATTTTCCTTGTAGCCTGGACCCAGCACATATCAGACAGAGCTTACTGGGCTTTTTCGCCATTGCGGAGCGGGAAGGCGGGTTATGCGCTGTATTTGTGACACATGTGTCAAACCTGGAGGTGAGGGGGGTTTATGGTAGAGAAAATGGGAGTGGAGTAGGGAAGGTCTGGGGAGTAAATTTGGTCTTAATCAGGTCTTCCATGTGATCAGTCCAACAGGGGGGAGAGGGGAGAAAGGGTGTCTGGAGATAAGGGTGACCTAGGTGGGGATTGGGGGGATAAAGATGGTGAATCCTCACTGTTGTCATTGTTTTCAGTGAGGGAGGTGGAGGCTCTTCCTCTTGGCTCAGATGTCTCCCGTGATCAGAGCTCTCTTCCGGCGGGGGCTGAGGTGGCTCTCCTTCAAGGTTTCTGGCGTGTTGTGTGTGTGTTGTGTCTTTTTCTTGTTTTGATTCCTCTAGTCTCTTGTCCTTGGCAGAGGGAACAGATGAGTGATGCAGAAAGTAAAACAGGTTGGAGCTGAACAGTTTTACTCCTGACTTGTTAAGGCGAAGTCCATCTGCCTTAAAAAGATGTCTGCGGTCCCACAGAAAGAAAAAGCTTTCGATGAAATGCACTGAATGGACAGTACATGCCGTTGAGAGCCGCGTGTTCAAAGCCATCAATCTGCTGAATCCCTTAGCTCCTCTTCGGATTGGCGGTATAGGGCCACTGATAAACACCTCAGCATTCAGAGAGCTGACTGTGTTCAACAGATTATTAAAGTCCTCTTTCAACACTTCAGACTGTTGCTTCACAACATCATTAGCCCCGATGTGCAGTATGATGTTTTTCGCAGTAGGATGTTCAGCCACGATATGCAGGATTCTTTCTGCCAAGTCAGACACCGTATCCTTCGGGAAGCAGAGTACTTTGGTGTTCTTGTTCTTACTGCACATGCTTCTTACATCGTTTACAGCAGCGTCACCCACAATCAGAGTTTGAGGCCCAGTCGTTAGCTTTCCCTGCAGCCTTTTACTTTCTGATTTACTCTCAGTCCTTACCCTTCTGTGTGAGGACGGGATGTTATCCAGGTCATCAGACGGAGATCCAGGGTCCTGCAATAGTGGTGAAAATATGTTCTGCTGTTGCACACTCGGTTGTTGGGGAGATTTGTTGCTGATTCTCCCTTTCGCAGCTGTCCACGGCTGTGTCCTACCAAGAACAGGGGTTGAAGAGGCGCTCTGCCTGGATGATAATGCAGGACAGCCAGTCGCATCACAAATCTCAGGGCGCTGGGTTCTGCCTGTTACTCGTCCTCCCATTTCTCCAGGAAATTATTTACTCTTAGGCTTTGCACCAAGAGCGTTCCAGGAAGGACTCCCACTTTTAGATTTATTACCCAGTACACAGGCCTCCTGCTTCTTGGTAGTCTTGTTGGTGCTAATTAGCCGTGTGTTAGCATGCTCTTGTCCACTGTTTTGGGTCCACCGTAAAGTGGTGTCATTCCGACATAATCCATTCACTTCCACATTCACTTCTAACCTGTGGATCTTTGTTTCCAGCACAGTAATTTTCTGTAGAAGTTTGTAGAAGTCGTCCGTGGAGAAGGGGGGCATCTTGTTGCTAATTAGCATTAGCTATAGCTCCAGTCACAGCAGTACAGGCTAGTGCTATTGATAGGCCGCACTCGCGTAGCACTAAGATCATAAAAGTTCCAGTGATTTAAAAGTATCCAAGAGCTGCTGATTTCTAGCAGAAAAAAAGAGAGAGAGGCAAGTGCAAGCAGCTGCTTGCTGCTTGCACTTTTTGAAAAATAAACTACATAAGTAGATTGAAAGGACCTGTTCCTTTATTGTTCTAAATAGACATTGTTAATGTACAGTTGTGGTTATAGTACTTGCTTTTATTTTATATAGTTCCAAAGCAAAAATCTTTGTTAAATAGTTAAAGGTTTGTATAAATCAGTGAATTATAGTGAATTTAATTTAGCTGACGCTTTTATCCAAAGCAACTTACAGTTGCTATACAGGTCAGAGGTTGCACGCCTCTGGAGCAACGAGGGGTTAAATATCTTGCTCAAGGACACATTGGTGGATGTGTCACAGTAGGGAATTGAACCCGGTCTCTCACACCAATGGTATGTGTCTTATCCACTGTTCCATCACCGCCCCCCACGTAAACCTCATTCACTTACTGGTAACGTTAGCTAGGTAGGCTGTGTGTTGGAGATCAGTTGATTGAAAGATATTTAATTAGTGAAATGGTATAATTAGGGGGTGACAAACATAATCGTGACTAGTCGACTAATCGAATAAATAATTAGGTTAGTCGACTACGCAAACAATCATTAGTTGCAGCCCTATTAATCACAACATCTACAGCCAGTTGTTTAAAAGCAACCAGTGAAACAGGCTTTGCAGCTGATTCCAAGCAAAGGGAGCAGCAGACTTAAATGTCCCTTTTCCCAATTCAGTCCGGACTTCAGGGCCAGATAATCGTAATAAGTCCTCAGAATGACGACAGTATCTTCCCATACTTTTCTCTCAGATGTAGATTTTTAGGCAAGATGGTTGTAGACCAAGAATAGCCTTATAAATAAGAGTTTGCTAATGTTTAAGTCTACGGGTGGACAATGCAGACCAACCAACCCGAGCATACAAGGAGCAGCGGTGAGTAAGTTTGTGATGAAGCTCAGAGCTCCACGGTAAACTGTGTCCAACACTTTCAGGCTTTGAATGGAGGCATGCATGTAAATAACATCGGCATCGTGCAGCTCTGACATAAAGGTGGCAGCAACAAGTCTCCTTTTGGCCTCGAAGGAAAAAAACTTATTTCTAACACCAAAACCCAGTTTCAGCTTAAGTTTTTTGATAAACTGCTGAATGTGAGATTTAAAAGAGAGAGAAGATATCAATAAAAACAGAAAACTCTGAGGTGCGTTTATTCCTGGCCACATGCTTCAAACCAATAGGAGGAGCATCTCACCTCGTCCTCCCCCTCAGCCTCTTGAAGCCATTCTGCTCCTCTGCTCTGTTTTAATGTCGAGCTGATCTTTATAAAAACCTCATGAATTCAGCTTCTGATGTCTTCCTGGATCAGCAGTGTTGCTTCTTCTGCTTCAGTGACGTTAAAGGGCCGTCACCTTGTGTGATGATCTGCAGGAGGGAGGGGCTCCTCTCTGCCGCTCTGTTTAGACACAACTCACAAATATGTGGAATAAGTACGTCATTTAAAAAACACAAACAGCACAGATACTTTCTTCTAATAATTCTGATAGTTGATGGCGGGGATTGGGGGAAGATAAACTCCATGAGAACAGCTGGGAGAGCGAGGGCATTTGTTTATTCTAACAGCGTCTCCAATTATTCAAAGTGACCTAAATACGCAACCCGTTCTCCCTCCCCGACTCGTAATATATGGACACATGGTCGAGACCCATCGCCGTCAGTTTGTAACGCACTGGGGATCCCTGTAGCGTCATAGTTCAACGCAGTTTGTGACTGTAAAGGAAGGTACATGATATTTAACAGGAAAGACTGAGTAAGGAGGTGGATGGAGGGCCAGAACCCGGACTTTGAACCAGGAGACCGGGGTTCGTGTTAAACAAAAAGTCAACATTAAAAAAATATTTTTACTTAAGTAACGCGAGTTACGTAAATTGACGTAAGTTAACTACGCATGTTAGTAAACTTACGTGGTAACTGACCTACGTAGTTATTTTAACCCAAACCAGGATCTTTTCCGAACCTTAACCAAGTAGTTTTTGTGCCTAAACCAAACTAAACTGTAACGTTTCACGACTTTAATGACATGCCGTTTCAAATTGCCGATGTTTCGAAACGCAGCAATTTATTTTGAAAGTCTAACCGGACGTTGCATATTTGTTGTTGCTAACTTGACCGCGGAGCCTTAAACGTCTAAAAATGATCCAGGGTGTTAGAAAGCGACGCCAAAGGGTCTTGACCAAGCGTCAATATGAGTCGGACTGAGAGCGTGTCGGTCCATTACCTCAATAACTCTCTTGGTGTGTCCGCTGGGTCCATGTTGGCGAGATTATTGTGTTAAGGCGTGAAGAAGGCACAGAGCACAAGAGACTGAGTAAAAAGTTAACACAACTATAGGGTAGACAATCCAGGAAGTGTGAAACACCAGCGTGAACTTGAAGATCTTGAGAAGAGAAGAAACTCACAAGAGTAGAAAAATGCGATACTGAAAACACTCGAGGCTACAAAGTTAGCGCTGGCCTGAAGTACTCAGCCATGAAGTAGGAAGGAATAATCTGGTGCCAGTCACAGGAAGCCTGAGAGGATGAGAGGATTGAAACCCAGTTTGCAGCTCAGCCAGGTGTTTTGATTTCTGTCACGCCCTCCCACCAACACACTAAGGGAGGGGAAACATGGGATAACCCTGACACTCTCCTGCAGGATGTGACCACGGGGCACTTTCAGCTGATCGTTATCGCTGACTGATTGACCTGACCTGTTGCTTCCTCCTCCAGGTGCCTCCTGATGATGCTGACAGCTCCTCCAGCAGCTCTCGCGGTGAGTTCATCGCTCTCATTTAAATCTCCCCTTTGGTTTGTTCGCTGGACTTTTTATTTTGAAGTTGAAGAGGTTTCTCTGTTCTTATTAACGGGCTTTCTGCAGGAAATCCTCAGTATCGATCCAACAGTCCAGTTTCAGTTTGCTTCAGTCAAGAAAAACTGTGTCATGCATTTTTGTTTCAGCCCACATCTGTCTGTCGGTCATTAAATGTGACTCTGCAGCAATACAACAGACCGGCTCTCTGTTGGTTCCTGCTCACCTACCCATTATATACCGTTCACTGTTTATCCAGAGAGGAGAAGCTTAACATGGGAGACCTTGGTGATATTTCTTTAGCGAACATCTCAAGGAAGATTTAGATGCTTGATATTAATGCTGGACTCGTTCCTCCTGACAACATGAAAGATGGCCGCCTGAAAGTAACTTGTTTCTTATTTAAGATGGTGCAAATAGGTCCAAAAGATAAACAAATTAATCAATATTTCTGATGTTCGGGCTGAGGCAACATCTGATCCTGCAGATGCACAGGAGTCATTGACATCTTTCAAATTACTAATTTGTATTTATTTGTTGCGGAAAAAAATTATCATTTTGTGGTCAAAGTTTTAGTCTCATTTTCTGTTACATTCAGCCACAAGGGAAAAAGGGCTTTGGGCCCAGAAGCAGAAAGTCACGAGACAGAGGTATATTTAGTGGGGTTTTATTAAAGAAACCGGTGAAATCCAAGAGAGGAGTGGGCAGTCCGAGAAAAACAAAACAAGGTAATCCCAAGACAAACAGGAGAATAATTATAAATCCAAAATACAGGAGGAATGCTGGTGTGAGACTCCTCAAACGAGTAAAAAATACTTTTTTTCGAATTTTGCCGTTTCCATCAACCTTTTCTAAAGCAAAGCTTGGAAATGCGCATTAAAGAATGTTGATGGAAACACAGCTACTGGAGTCTGATATGAGACACATTTAAACTGTCACACAAACAAAATATCGGAACTGACCGTTAAAGCCTGCAGTCTGTGTATCGTCAGCCCTCTGCTCTGAGCCCTTATTAGGGCTGAAACGATTCATCGATTAAATCGATTAATAAAATGCTTTGACATAAATTCTTTGCATCGACGCTTCGTTTAATCCATTAAACTAAACAGCACAGTGTTTCGCATGGACATTTATTATTATTTAGTCGCACATGGCGCTGACGCTGTGAACACGACGTGATTGTGATGGCGCTGTTTGCAAAGTGGAGGAAGAGAGAGAAAATAGTGAGGGACAAAGATGAAAGTGTCCAAAGTCTGGGATTATTTACGTGCACTGTCCAACAGCTCAGCAGGTCTTGTGATAATGGGTCGGGTCCAGAATTGATATATGTTGGCTGTTGGTGCTGAGATTTGTGAGTGCAGGGCGGGTTTACAACATTGGATCCATGCAGGACTCTGGCTGGAAGATTGATTTCCCATAGATGTGGCTGAGACTCTAGTTAGTGGTGTTTCTAAAACGAACGTGACGGTAGGATCCTCGTTAGGTCAGCCGGTGAGTCGAACCTGATGGAGACCCACTATGCAGTCAGCCAACACGGCCTTCCCGGGAAACTGCTTTCTGTGTTTACTTCTGGTCAGACTCAGAGACAAGCATGACGTCAGAGGATCACCTGTGTGCCTCTGTTCCTTTGATGTCCCTCAGGGATCAGACCTCTGCCTTCAGGTCTTTATTGATTTGACTATTAAATCAGATCAAAATAAACAAACTGTGATGGACAGATTGTAGAAGACAGATGGAGGGATGAGAGTGAACTGGTCTGGGATGAACAGATGATGTAGAGACGACTCTAAAGAGGTGAAGAAACTTTTCTCTTTAGTCTCTCTGTTCTGTTGAGGTCGTGGGGTTCAGTGTCTCAGCCAATCAGCCGCTCTGCTGTATTGCCAGTCAGCTGCGTCCTAGATGGAGGGATGATGGAGGGATGGTGGAAGGGTGGATGGAAGATTAATGGATGATAGTGAGAGCAGATGGAGGACTGATGGAGGATGGTGGGAGTTCAGACAGGTACAGAACGGCGTCGTGACATCAGACCGAGCGGCGATGAAGAGCAGACGGAGGGAGGATGGTGCGAGTGCAGACTTTCAGGACACAGTCGTGACAGCAGATAGCGAGAGAGCGATAGCCACATTCCTGCTGCTGATAGCCACGCCTGACTGGTAACCTGGTTTACACAACGCTGGTGGAATGTGGCTGCTACAAAAACACTGCTGCATGCTGGGAAACACACCGTCTGGGGCCCAGAGGGGCAAAAAAACACACTCAGTGTTTCAACAGGGACACTCAGTGTGGGATAAACGAAGGGGGACCGTCAGTGTCAGGTCCTTTTTTACAGTGGCTCCCTCCCTGTTGTGGTGGATGTTCCCCCACAGCACCATCAGATGAACCCGAGTACCTCTTCATCCACACTGCCCGTTATGTTCCAGAGGTTTTCATACTCCTTTATTCCTTATTCACGCCGCTCTGTGAGCGTGTTTGACGTTGACCGCTGTAAAGCACTTTGTTAGTTGACTGTTATTGAAGTGATTTGTCTTTATCAGTTACACCGCTCAGCCATAACATTATGACCACCTGCTGGTAAACATGTAGGTCCAAAACAGCCCTGACCCGTTGAGGCCTGGACCCTTTCTATCAGAACCAGCATCAACTTCTTCAGCAGTTTGACCTGCTGTAACTCGTCTCACACGGGCCGGCCTTCGCTCCACATGTGCATCTATGAACCTTGGCCCGTCCATGACCAAGTCGCTGGTTCACAGCTTCGGATAGGTACAGGCTAGAAAAAAATCTAATTGCTAATTGGATTTTTCTGCCAGATATTCCGATGACGATTCGATTTGCAAGGTTTTGCTAAAGTTCAGTATTCACTGCCAGTCTATTTTTGTCCGAAGCCACGCCAAGCAGCACAGAGCAGATGATCCGGGCAGGAAGTCAGACACAGAACGGCATAGAGAATCCAGTTGATTTTCAAAATAAAACACCCATTGCAGACTCCTGATCATACATCAACAATAAACTTAGTTAAAACAGACAAAAAAAGAAACAATTTAACTACATGGCTACTTAACCATCAAGGACAACTGAACAAACAAGTCAGCAAAATCAGACGCTCTAATTCTGAAATGCTCCATGTGGATATGAAACATTAGCCTGCAGAGAGCGGAGCGGGCTCTAGTGAGGTGCGATACCACTTAATTCCTAAAAGATCCAATACCAAGTAATACCCAGGCTGGTATTGCCGATATCAATACTTTTTACATATTTTATCTCTAGTTTAATGTGACCTCCCTCTCCTGTTTCTGTATTTATGAGAGAAATAATAATAATAGTAGGCTGTAGCCTTACCAATTCAAAATAATAGCTGCATAATGACAAGACATCTAACTACTGTCATATTCTTTAATTATAGCCTCTTCATAACATCATCATATTATTGAGTTAGTCTCAGATGTTTAGCGAAGTTTGCAGTGTTGCCAAAGTATTTCACTGTCTTTGCACACACATCACACACAGCGCAAGCATGACTTTGACAGGCGGAAGGGAAAGTAGTTCCTATCAACCGAGTAGTTACTATCCTGGTGACAGGAAGATATCGATCCTTCTATATGAGTATAGATCCTAGAGCAGTTGTTGTAAAACGTACAGGCCCTGTGCCCGCTCTGATTGGTAAGTAGGACCATAACATGAGGCGCATGGTGCTTGTGATTGGTGAGCAGATCAGTCAGACAAGGACGACAACGGTACGAATTTGTAACCGCATGACTGTTTTAAACGGGTCAGATGAACTGGAAAATTAACCTACATTTTAATTGCGTTCTTTCAAATCGCAATTTCGATTTGAAAGCGATTAATCGTTCAGCCCTAGTACTGAACCCTGCAGACGATTTTGGAGCTGTTCTGACCCAGTCCTCTAGAATCACAGTTTGACCTGTTTCTCCTGCTTCTAACACATCAGCTATGATGACACGATGTTCACCTGCTGCCTGATAGATCCCATCCACTGACAGAGTTATGGCTGATCGGTGTCCATAAAAGTTAAGTAGGCACAGTGATCTGAAAATGAACGGCGTACATTAAAGATAAGGTGGCCAGTTTATTTCAGAGGCATTTTCTCTTCCATCCCGACAGTCATCAATAGATCCCGTATCTGTGGCTGTTGCAGGACTCGACCAATCATTTAATTTGGCCTGGCTGAAATGATTGGCTGGCCTACCTGCCTGTCCACCCGTGTGCACTCACTGCACATGAACATGTGTTTTGGGGGAGTGGCTTTGGAGGGAGGGGGGTGAGATTTCTTCAGCTCCACACGTGTTTTATTGTACGGAGGACATGAACAGACATCCGTGTGTTTTGGCTGCAGCAGCAGCAGCAGTCGGTATTTTGTGTTGAACTGAGTTTGAAGCGCTGATGACTTCGTTCATATCAGATGAACAGAAGCTGCTTCACATCTGTCCTCATTCAGACTGTTCAAAGAGTGTGTGGGTCAGAAAAAAATGAAGTATGATTGTCGCTGACGTTATCTGATACTCACACACACACAGTCAGCTGTCTGCTTCCTGAGAATCTCAGAGATGCTTGTCTGTCTCCGCACGGTGTTTACATTCCTTGCTGTCTGAACACAGAGAAGACACCGTAAAAACAAAACACGCTGGAGAAAATACACCCCAAAACTCAGAACTCACTCTGCTGCAGTCTGAACAAGTAGGAAAAACAAACCTGGAGGCAGGTCTGCTGCTTTAGTGGTCCGGTTCTTAATGGCTAAGGAAGACGGCTTGTGCATCCTTCTCCTTAGCCACATCCTTCAGTTCTTCCTGGAGGAACCCGCGGCGCCCCCAAGACTGATGGGATTTATAATCCTTGCAGTGTGTTTGGAGTCTGCACATCATTCGCAAAAAGCAGAGATACAGTGCTAAGATCACCATACAGACACTCTCCACACCTCGACTGCACCTTCAGATTCTGGTCAAGAAAATGACAAGGAAACAACCACGGTGGAGTCCAGAACCCACTGAGAACATGTTTGACTCTCACTCTGCTTAATCACCGATCAGAACCAGAACCAGCATCAACTTCTTCAGCAGTTTGACCTTCACTAACTCGTCTCACACGGGCCGGCCTTCGCTCCCCACGTGCATCTATGAACCTTGGCTGTCCATGACCAAGTCGCCGGTTCACAGCTTTTCCTTCCTTGGACCACTTCGGATAGGTACAGGCTAGAAAAAATCTGATTGTGATTTTTCTGCCAGATATTCCAATTCACTAAAGTTCAATATTCACTGCCAGTCTATTTTTGACTGAAGCCACGCCAAGCAGCACAGAGCAGATGGACCGGGCAGGAAGTCAGACACAGAACATAGAGAGTCCTGTCGATTTTCAAAATAAAACACCCATTGCAGACTCCTGATCATACATCAACAATAAACTTAGTTAAAACAGACAAGACACAATTTAACGAAATCAAGGACAACTGAACAAATTAGCAAAATCTGAACAAGTCGGCAAAATCAGATGCCCTTGTTCTGAAATGCTCCATGTGGATAAGTAGCGTCAGCCTGCAGAGAGCGGAACGGGCTCACAGAGACCTGTTATCCGTAGTTGTCGCCGGTTCACAGCTTTTCCTTCCTTGGACCACTTCTGATAGGTACTGTTCAAAATGCCCTCAGTTCCCCTCACTACCTGTTTGAGTTGACAGCCCTGCTCCTCTCTTTACTCAGTATCCAAGACACATGGCCACAGATCTGATTAAATGATTACAAACTCGATCACTGGCCTCAGGTGTTCTTGTTCCAGGTGCACTTATGGACAATCCACAACTTGCACAGAGGTCCAAAGAACACCACTCGGATCAGGCAGCAACCTCACCCACATGAGCATATCCCAGCACAACTATGGAGTCCCCAGGCGGAAGACCAGCATCTAGTCTCACAGAGTTTACCTTCTTATTCGCCGAAAACTAGCCTGCACACTGAAAATCAGTGTCTTGCTCCTGTCCAGGAGTTTGCTTCCAGACATGTTTCCAAAAAAGTTGGCACACTTTGTAAAATGCTAATAGATACAAAATGTAATGATGTGCAAAACATTGAAACCCTATAACTGAAAATAGCTCAAAAGCAACTTATCAACTGTTGAAACTGAGAAATGTTTTTTTTTTGGAAAATTATATGCCCATTTTCAATTTGATGCCAGCAACACGTTCCAGAAATGTTGGCACACTTGTAACAAAAGACTGGAAAAGGTGTTTAGGAATCATGGACGCCGCGTCCTCTGGGTTAAAGAGTAGAGGGTCACTCCAGCTTGTTATCAGTGCACAGTGTCAAAACTAGCATCCGTGATGGGGGTGCATTAGCGTACATGGCGCTGGTAACCTGCACATGTGTGAAGGCCCAATAGAGAGCCTAAATCACTCGCTTAGCTTCCGGCCCAAAAAATGTGTTCAGTATTTGACATCGAGAAACAACTTATTCTTTTAATCCTGTTTGAACTGAGCCCTGAATTTCACACATGATATTTGTCAATTTAAAAGATAATTTTGTCAGTCAAGAAAGTTGCAGTTTGTCATAAAACAGTAAAGTTACTTTAGTTAGTTTTGTGTGAAAACCGTTAAATGAGCTACATCTCTCGTCTCGCACAATATACGTCACCAACGTGTTAACGCGATAATGCTAAGCTAACGTTCATTCCTTGGTTGCTCCTAGCTAGATAACTTAGCTACGTTCCATGCAGAAATATATCTCACCTGATACGTTTAATCCAACAGCTCAAGTTCTTTTGTCACATCATCTACACATGGAAGTTCTTTGACGTTTGCTAAATTGACATTAGCTTCAGTAACATTAGCTTTAGTCATTGAGAGAAAAAGTTACTTGTCCCCTGCTGAAAATGTTTGGCGCATTATGAAACTTGTTGAGCAGTCTTGTTAAATGAAGAGGTGATGCAGCAGAGCGGGAAACACGACCCTGTCCCAACTTTTTTGAAAATTCAGAATTGCTATATAATTTTCCCAAAACAAAAATATTCTCAGTTTCAACATTTGATAAGTTGTCTTTGTGCTACTTTCACTTGTTGAAAATGCTGCCGTGGGCCAGCAAAGTAGTGACCTTATGTCATTCCTTTGGGCTTAGCCCCGTTGGGCCTCAGTAGAGTAGATGGAAAGATGGAGCATCTTTGCTCACCAATGAGCTCAGTTAAGTCGGGGCGCCGTAGCTTGCTTCTGAAGCTGTAGCTGTATAAAGGTTCTGGATTCGTAATTGGGCCCCTTACCTGGGGACAGTTTGATTTGGATGACTAAACCAGGAGCAGACAACACCGCTCCCAGGGGGTCATTGGGGTCCGCAAACTCCTCCACCAACATACTGTGGAGACTCTTGGGGCAGTCTGGAGAATAAACAATCCTGAAAACACACTCTTCTGCTCTGCTCAATGAGGTCAGCAACTGCAAAATGGGTTATCTGCAGTACATACCTCCACAGAGTCACCCTGATTTGATATGAAAATATATGATTGGCTAATTATTAAGTTGATGATTTATAGAGCTCAACAGTGAGCTTCCAAAAGTAAAGAAGGATTCAGTTTAGGAGGAAGCGAGCTAAACTACCGTTGGGTTGGAAGTCCTTGGAAAATAATTATGTTCACTTTTCTTGTAGTTTTTTAGCTACGATTCAAATGTTTTATGGTTCATGATTCATATTGTAGTAGCATATCATAGCTAGTTCAAGGCTTAAAACTCTCTAAATAAGGATATTTGGAAAAGTCAATGATTAAGTGAATGAAGGAGGAAATTACTTAGAACTGGAGCCGTGAAAAAAGTGGGCGGTCACTGTTGAGCTGAATTGAGGTGTGATGTCATACCGGTGTCGTGATGATGTTTGTGTTCTCTCTTGGTTTTCAGGGCGACCTGACGGAGCCGTGCGGCGGTCGGGACTGCTCCACCTGTCAGTGTTTCCCAGCCAAAGGAGCAAGGGTGAGACTGCGCTCGCTCACAGACAGCAGCCAATCAGAAACCAGCTGCATCCGCATACACTTACCTCGATTAACAGACCTGTGACACTTTCACTGTCGGCTCGTAAACCACAGAACAAAGACGTGCACACGCTGTAACAAGGAGCTGATGGATGGAGGAGTGTTCGTGAGGAATGTGTTGGAGTTAAATTAGCAGCTGTTTACCTTAAACTGAGTCAGCAGATTCCGCACATGCACACAGATTTACAGTTTTACTCCTCTGCCTCCCTGGACTCTGAGCTTCTGTTTCCAAAAACACATTTTAGATAAAGTCAACAGATTAAAGAAAAAAAGATCCAGTGGTCCAGATGTGCCTGTAGACAGTCACACAATGTGGTCCAGATGTGCCTGTGGACAGTCACACAATGTGGTCCAGATCTGCCTGTAGACAGTCAGTGTGGTCCAGATGTGCCTGTACAGAGTGACACAGTGTGGTCCAGATGTGCCTGTACAGAGTCACACAATGTGGTCCAGATGTGCCTGTACAGAGTCACACAGTGTGGTCCAGATGTGCCTGTACAGAGTCACACAGTGTGGTCCAGATGTGCCTGTACAGAGTAACAGTGTGGTCCAGTTCTGCCTGTAGACAGTCACACAGTGTGGTCCAGATGTGCCTGTAGACAGTCAGTGTGGTCCAGATGTGCCTGTACAGAGTCACACAATGTGGTCCAGATATGCCTGTACAGAGTCACACAATGTGGTCCAGATGTGCCTGTAGACAGTCAGTGTGGTCCAGATGTGCCTGTACAGAGTCACACAATGTGGTCCAGATGTGCCTGTACAGAGTCACACAATGTGGTCCAGATGTGCCTGTACACAGTCACACAATGTGGTCCAGATGTGCCTGTACAGAGTCACACAGTGTGGTCCAGATGTGCCTGTAGACAGTCAGTGTGGTCCAGATGTGCCTGTACACAGTCACACAATGTGGTCCAGATGTGCCTGTAGACAGTCAGTGTGGTCCAGATGTGCCTGTACAGAGTAACAGTGTGGTCCAGTTCTGCCTGTAGACAGTCACACAATGTGGTCCAGATATGCCTGTACAGAGTCACACAGTGTGGTCCAGATGTGCCTGTAGACAGTCAGTGTGGTTCAGATGTGCCTGTACAGAGTAACAGTGTGGTCCAGTTCTGCCTGTAGACAGTCACACAATGTGGTCCAGATGTGCCTGTAGACAGTCACACAATGTGGTCCAGATGTGCCTGTAGACAGTCACACAGTGTGGTCCAGATGTGCCTGTAGACAGTCAGTGTGGTCCAGATGTGCCTGTACAGAGTCACACAATCTGGTCCAGATGTGCCTGTACAGAGTAACAGTGTGGTCCAGATGTGCCTGTACAGAGTAACAGTGTGGTCCAGTTCTGCCTGTAGACAGTCAGTGTGGTCCAGATGTGCCTGTACAGAGTCACACAATGTGGTCCAGATATGCCTGTAGACAGTCAGTGTGTCCAGATGTGCCTGTACACAGTCACACAATGTGGTCCAGACAGTTTTACTCCTCTGCCTCCCTGGACTCTGAGCTTCTGTTTCCAAAAACACATTTTAGATAAAGTCAACAGATTAAAGAAAAAAAGATCCAGTGGTCCAGATGTGCCTGTAGACAGTCACACAATGTGGTCCAGATGTGCCTGTACAGAGTCACACAATGTGGTCCAGATGTGCCTGTAGACAGTCAGTGTGGTCCAGATGTGCCTGTAGACAGTCACACAATGTGGTCCAGATGTGCCTGTAGACAGTCACACAATGTGGTCCAGATGTGCCTGTACAGAGTCACACAATCTGGTCCAGATGTGCCTGTAGACAGTCAGTGTGGTCCAGATGTCTGAGGTCGTGTGCCCTTTTAGTGAATAACCTGTGTAATATTCAGTTTCCTTTCAGGAGCCAATGAAACGGCTCATAAAGCATCACATGACATTCCGCTGTCACTCAACAATCAGCTGATCGAGTAAACAGAAACACTTTTCTGTGCAGACGGGCGTCCAGAACATGAACTGACCTCCCGTCTGTGTGTTTCTGTGTTGCACTGTTAGTGTGTGTTTGTACAGCTGGGGCAGCAGACAGGCAGAGAGGATTGTGGGAAGGGGTCTGTCTCAGTGATTTCACAGCTCAGTGGTTCCAGAGAAAGAAGGACAGAGAGAGGACTAACAGAGATCACAGCTGTCACATCTCATCACACACACACTCAGTACACACACACACACACACTCAGTACACACACACACTCAGTACACACACACACACACACTCAGTACACACACACACACTCAGTACACACACACACACACACTCAGTACACACACTCAGTACACACACACACTCAGAACACACACCACACACACACACACTCAGAACACACACACTCAATACACACACCACACACACACACTCAGTACACACACACACTCAGAACACACACCACACACACACACTCAGTACACACCACACACACACACTCAGTACACACCACACACACACGCTCAGTACACACCACACACACACGCTCAGTACACACACACGCTCAGTACACACACACGCTCAGTACACACCACACACACACTCAGTACACACCACACACACACTCAGAACACACACCACACACACACACTCAGAACACACCCACACACACACACTCAGTACACACCACACACACACTCAGTACACACACACACTCAGAACACACACACACTCAGAACACACACCACACACACACACTCAGTACACACCACACACACTCAGTACACACACATACACTCAGTACACACACACACACTCAGTACACACACATACACTCAGTACACACACACACACACTCAGTACACACACACACTCAGTACACACACACACACTCAGTACACACACATACACTCAGTACACACACACATACACTCAGTACACAACACACACACACTCAGTACACACACACTCAGAACACACACACACTCAGTACACACACACACATACACTCAGTACACACACACTACACACTCAGTACACACACACACTCAGAACACACAAACACTCAGTACACACACACACACATACACTCAGTACACACACACTACACACTCAGAATACACACACACACACACACACACTGTACACAGTACACAACACACACACACACACACACTCAGTACACAACACACACACACTCAGTACACACACACTCAGTACACCACACACACTCAGTACACAACACACACACACACACACTCAGTACACAACACACACACACTCCGTACACCACACACACTCAGTACACAACACACACACACACACACTCAGTACACAACACACACACACACTCAGTACACAACACACACACACTCAGTACACAACACACACACACTCAGTACACAACACACACACACTCAGTACACACACACTCAGTACACACACACTCAGTACACAACACACACACACACACACACTCAGTACACAACACACACACACACACACAGTACACAACACACACACACACACACACAGTACACAACACACACACACACACTCCGTACACACACACTCAGTACACAACACACACACACACACACTCAGTACACACACCACACACACACACACTCAGTACACAACACACACACACACACACTCAGTACACACACCACACACACACACACAGTACACAACACACACACACAGTACACAACACACACACACAGTACACAACACACACACACACTCCGTACACACACACTCAGTACACAACACACATACACACACACTCAGTACACAACACACACACACACACACACTCAGTACACACACCACACACACACACACAGTACACAACACACACACACACACACACACACTCAGTACACACCACCACACCCCACCAGAGATGAGCCCAATGAGGGTGGTGTCGTCCGCAAACTTCAGGAGCTTGACAGACTGGTGACTGGAGGTGCAGCTGTTGGTGTACAGGGAGAAGAGAAGGGGGGAAAGAACGCAGCCTTGAGGGGATCCGGTGCTGAGGGTCCTGGAGTCAGAGACATGTTTTCCCAGCTTCACCTGCTGCTTCCTGTCCGTCAGGAAGTCAGTGATCCACCTGCAGGTGGAGTCAGGCACGTTCAGCTGAGAGAGCTTGTCCTGCAGCAGGGCCGGGATGATGGTGTTGAAAGCAGAGCTGAAATCCACAAACAGGATCCTGGCGTAGGTTCCTGGGGAGTCCAGGTGCTGGAGGATGTAGTGAAGGGCCGTGTTCACTGCATCATCTACAGACCTGTTGGCTCTGTAGGGAAACTGCAGGGGGTCCAGGATCTGGTCTGGGTCTGTGATGGATTTTAGGTGGGACATAGGCGGCATAGGCGGTTGCCTAGGGCGCATAATGTCAGGGGGCGCCGCAAGAGAAGGTTTTCGACTTGGCACAAATCAGCACACACACAAACACACACACACACACCAGAACACCTAATTCCTAAATTAACAACAGTGATGAAAATAATAATAAAGTTTATTTGCACCTGTAATGCAGGTAAAACTGCTCAGTGTTTAAAAACAAGGAAATTACAAGCAGCAGCTGCTTCACAGGTAGAAGAGAGACAATGAAGTCAGTGCTCGGCGATACGGCCCAAATGTTGTCACACTAATAACTCACACACTCGATACCAATAATTATCAGGATAAATGTCAAACCATTATTTCAGGTTTAAAGGCTGATTCTTGCTCCTGACTGAAAGTTAATTGACCCTTCGCTAAGCCACGCCCCGAATACACAGCTGGCCAATCACAGCGCAGTATAGGCCTCGCTCTAAGGGCCCGTGTCCACCAAAGCGTTTTTTTGCCAACTGAAATCAAAGCGCGAGGAGGAAACGCATGCGACAACGTCCGGTTTTCAAAATAAGGCGTCTATACAGGATGGAAATAAGATTAACTTATTAAATTCACAGAAAGTATAAAACATGTTACATGTGTTCATTAAAAGGAAACGGACTCATGTAAT